TTACTTATTAATATTTGTCATTCTATATAATTTTTATAATAAATTTAATTGGCTGTGATAATATACGTGACCCGTCACTTTTAATAATCGATTTCCGAAGAATACACGTGTCTCGTCACTTTTATAATCTCGATTTCCGACGTATCTAAGTACCGAATGGACCGGAATCACGTGTCCCGTCACTTTTTTTCGGATTTATAATAAGAAAAATCAAATCTGGTTCTGACAAACTTATTTCGGATAAAAATAAGAATGAAATGGCAAAACTAATTGCTGCTGTCATTGGTATTCTCACATCCTCTGCATTATTACACCATTTACAAAATGACATTGACGGTAATACTCTGAAACTACGAAAAAAACTGAGAAATACCCAAGATCGGTTAGAGACTGCGTTGCCAGGTACCTGGCGGATAAAGTCGCAAGAGGTAATTATTCAATATTTAATTATTAATGAATTTAATTGAAAATCGAGAAAAATATTGTGTCGAATAACTATTGTGTGTGTATCAGTATCCATCACTCAAAACAACATTAACTCCAAATCAACGAGCAAAACTCCCGATCCCAACATTAACACAAACACTAAATCACATTGAAAAGCGGTTTATTCCGACGTTCAAAGCGACGTGGAATGATCATGTTATTGGGTTCGCGAATCTTATTAATGGAATTGATGTGCAGGACTCGATAAAGTCTAGATGGGATAAATGGCAAAAGTCTGGTCAAAAAAAGTGAATTGAGCTTTTTTGAGGTTCTGTTTGTATCCAAAATCGAATACTATATTTGCCAATATCTCTTATTAGACAATTATTGTTATCATTATTCATCAATATTTTAAGCGCTGGACAACAAAATGATGTATCATATTCGGAATTTAAAAAGAATATTATAATTGTACATTTAAATTATTATTATAATAAATTTATTCGTAACATTCAAAAAGGTCATTGTTGCCGGTCCAAAATTAAGACTACCCTCAAATTACTAAATACGAAATCTCGACATTCAAGCTTTCCTTAAGATGTACATTTTTTGGCCCTATCATCATTGGTGAAACAAATAACTACAGCAAACTAGATGGCTCTATCGAAATTAATTTTAGTAGTTTATGGGTTCAGTGGCTTTGTCCCGATTAGCTGCAAAATTTCATATATACTCACGGGACCAAACAATTTGTTAATAATAATAATATATATGCAAAAAGCAAACAGCTGATTGGCTATTGATATATATATATTACAAAAAAATCTTTAGTAATATCAGACTATTAAAGTTGGTATGAGGAAATTTTTTATATTAAAAAATCTGGATATTAACGAGGACTGAAAAAATAGTAGAATAATATCAAGCATCTTTCCTTTGTCTAAAAATTCGAACTTAAAATCATGTGAACATAACTCATAAAATGTGGCACGATTTATGAAAATTCAGTGTTAGCCAATTTCATGGTCATAAGCCATTTTTCATGACTTTGATTATCAAGTCATGATAAAATTGAGGGATATAAGGTCTTATGACCTCAAATCTAAGGTCATAGAAAAATCATAGGCCAACACTGATTGTGCACTTATCTCAACCACCGATGGTAATGTAGGATCACAACCGCCACCATATTGTGTAATAAAGATCAAATCAGCGGGAGACCGTTGAATTTGCACGAGCAATTATAAATTTTTACTCTTACTGTCACATTAATTATTATTTACATGAAAGGGCTGTCAATGTTTATAAAGAAAAATGTTATTCTTTAATAAACACATGTATATGTTACAAAAAATGAATCAATTTTGCAAAATCATTAAATAAATACGTATAATACACTAATCCATCTCTTCTATATATATTTCTCTCCATCTTCTGACGTAAACAATCATTTCTTCATTTCACAATCTCGTACATTGAAATCTCCTGTTGCGGCCAATGTTTCAGCGCACTTTTACTTGTGCCCACCCCACTCATCTCACCATAATATCCACTATCCTGCATTATAGCCACTTCATCCTCGAAAAGATACTCTGAACTCTCTTTATCGAAACTTTCGGATGTTGTTCTTTCTGTTTCTGATTTCTCAATCATTCGTCCTTTACCAGCAGCCTTTCGTGCTGCTTCCATCGTTTTGCTGTATAACCACCATGTGGCAATAAGGAATAGGATGAGACCTTTATGAATTTTTTATAGTTAAATTATTTATTTTATTATTATATTATTATTGCTGATTAATTGAAGTATTTGTTAATATTGAGATAGCAAAGATCTAAATACCTATTCCAATCGAAAGATAATTTATTAATCGAGATGTGGGGTCCAGCTCATTAGTTAAATTAGCTAATCGTGATCCAATAAACACATGAATCAGTAATTTCGGCATTGTAAGTATTGTGGCCAGTGTGAATTTCCAAAAGCTGACGGACCGGATACTGGCAAAGAATGCATTTGAATAGGTTATAGGGAACGGACTAAGACGTATCAGGAAAATAATCTTTAAAAACAAAATCACAATCAATGATGAGAATCACGAAGCAGATAACACGCAAGCAAGAATAAAAAATAACAATCAAATTTTTACCTTGAACCCCTCATCATGTATCGCAATTGCCAACGCGGCGAACCTTCGATCTTTTCCAACCAATTTATCAGTATAATTTTTACAAATTGATCGAAAGAGTCTGGGAATTTTATTTCACAGTGCATAAAAAAAACTTAAAAAGATTAGAAAAATTCGTCTGTAGGTTAGATCAAAATTCTAGCATATTTATATTTATTTACCAAATGATACACCATAGTCAGTATTTTTGCTTATTTTTTTTTTTGTTTTACCAATTAATTATTTGAATTTATTTATTTTATTTCTTATGTCAATTATCTTACCCGAAACAAATCATCGATCCAATCAACGCGCCACATAAAGCCGGCGCGAAGCCCAACGGGAATCCATAAATAAAACCACAGATAATGAGAAGTGAGCTATACCTAAATAAGGGATTAACTTTGAGAAATAATTGGTGTAAAACTTAAGCATTGAAGAATTAGCATTAATAATTACCCTGGTAACGGCGGAAAACAGGAAGCTATAATGAGAGACGAAAATATTAGGTATCCGTACTGTAAATCTCGAACTTGTTGTGCGAACGGTGCTAGAGCTATAGTTTTTTTAAAAATGCAATTAGATATTTTATTCCTTTATTTAGCACGTAAAGTATTACTGTGGATAAAATACCTATTAATATCGGTTTCTCAAAAACAAAAAATAAGACAGTGAACACTATAAATAGTGTAGACAGTAACAATAGCAAGAATCTTCGTTTTGGTGGTAAATCCACCACAAAATCTATGAACGAGGTGAATATGTTTGACATTTTCTTTTTGACGACGTGTTTTTTGTGTTATAAATCAAAAATGTATGTGTATGCTGTATGAAGATGTATATACATGTAAATAACCCAAAATGTCATTATGTAATTTTCGCATGCAAATTGTTATGTACATGTACCTTATTTATTTTATGTGGTGGTGGCTTGGTTGGAAATTTTCACGACGAGGCTTTGTGAAAAAAAGATTGAATGAAGCTAACTAAATGCTTTAATATTCATATCTTTGAGGTTGCATTTACTTTTTTTTTGGAACTAAAATGCGTTTATTAAATTTCTCTAAAAAAAAAATCCTTTAAAAGATATATTACTAGTAAAAAAGAACTTATAATCAATATTCCTGATATCAATTCTCTATTTTAATAGTCATTTTATTAAAATTTTTTCAATAAGTATTTAATTACATAGTAACTCTCTTTATAGTGTAGGCCAAGAGTCAGACCATTTTCTACACTATAAAGAGAGATCCACAATAAAGAAAGCTTATCTTATAGTGTATTTATTATCAAATTACATGATATATACTATAATAAATATTCTATATTTGCTAAAAAAAAAATTTAGATTAATTCTTTAAAGCTACAAATCAATTAATACTTTATTATTTTTAAAGTATTTAACAAGGCTAGATTACTATTTACTCTCTATTCTCTTTCTAAAAATTTGATTCTTCAAATTATTTAATATATTATTATCATTTTAAGCTTGTGTATATGCAAGTATTCTAAAATGGTAATAGTAATTATATTCATGACAATTATTAGCTTTTAACTTGTAGAATAAAGATGATTAACTATTTTCTAATGATAAATTTTAATTTTTAATAAAATACTCTCTTAATAGAATAAGAAAAAAGATAAATAAAGATAATATATATGTTAAATATATATGTGTTTATTATAAATAATATCAGTTAATTATTCTTAACTCTAGTAATTAACTCTTTTATCAAACTTAATTATTTTCTTATTTCTCAAGATAACAAGACAAAAATTGATTTCTGTAATAGAATAAATATTTAAAGATTATCCAAATAATAAATAAATCTGTAATAATTAAAGATTATAATTTTTTTAAAGAAAATAAAATGAAACTTATATTTTCAGTATATCTTTTTATTGATTCTGCTAATTCAAATAGTATTCTTTAAACTGGTTAACTTACTATTTTTATATGATCAAAATAAAAATATCATCTCAATTAATTATGACTTATAATAGCTAATCAAAAAATTATAATTAATTACAATAATCAATCAAAAAATTGTAATCAAGTTGTGATGTCATCTTTAGATTAGAATATTTTATCGGTACATTATTATTAATCTATATAATAAATTTGCTAAGTTTTATTATCAATTCATAATTTTTTTTATTATATTGAGAGAAAATAAAGTTAAATTTATATAAATTCTTCTTATTAATAATAGATCTAGTAAGAATTCAAAATACTTAAAAAATATTATCAAGTATTATAATCTATTTTATTTTCTGAATTTTGACTATTTAATTATCTAAATATATATATTCTGGAACAGAGTACTTATAATTTTATAAAATATAATATGATTTCTCTTTTAGATAAACTTGTCAGAATTATCTTACCTTTAGATGAGTATAGAACATATTTAAATTTTCAAGATAATATTATAAATAAAGAATTAGTATAATATAATTTTAACTTTTTGAAAGAAAAATTATATGAAATTTGAAAAAAAGATAAAATATATAGCAAACTTATAATAATATAATATATTAATAAGAACTTCAACCTATTTATCAATCTTAAATAACTAATATAAAATAGATCAAGGATTATGTTTAGTTATATTATTACTTAATAGATCTAAAAAAGTATAAGAATTATCAGTATTATCATAAATATTAAATATCTAATATTACTATCTTATTTAAAGATGATTCCTTAACTATTATAACATGATGATAAATAAGCATTATTTAGTTATAACTTATAAAATTTTGAAGTTATAACATATTATAATAGATAATAAATAAGTATTATATACTTGTTATATCTTTCTAATCTTATTAGAAGAAAATAATGAATTTTTTCTTCTGTTATTAAGATTAAAAATAAATATTTTATTAATCTAATATATATTTTTCAATACTTTGATAAATTAAAAATTTCTCTTTATGATTACTTATATCTATCTATTTTAAATAAAATATATTAGTACTTATATTATAGCATATATAATAAGTATTATCCTATCTTAAAGTTTATTATAAGTTATAAATATTATAAGTATCAAATTAAGTATGACTAATTTCAAAAATAAAAGTCTTTATAAAAGATAGAAATCTTAATAATTATTATAATAATTAATATATTAAACTTAAGAATTATTAAGAATATAGAATATAATTATAGTAATAGATAACTAGAAGAAACAGATCTGAAATTATATAAAATACAGAGTAATATTGAATAATAATTTATTTATTTATAAAATTTTTTGCTATTAATCTAAATAAATATATAGTACGTAATAAAAAAAATCAGATATTTTAATTTTCTTTATAAATATTTATATAAATAATATAAAAATTTAAATATATATACTTGAGAATATATAAATAATTTTATTTAAGATTACTTGAATACTTATCTTATTGAAATTTTTCATAATTTATCTTTTTAAAATTAAAATTTTTAATAATAAGAAAACTTAAATAAATTATTATAAATAAATTTTGATTATTATTTTATAAATTAATCTTAAGTAAACTTATTTACTAGATTATCAAGTATATATATTTAAAATTTTAT